TAAGTACTTCATCTCAGCATTTCATAAACGAAAAACGGCCAGCTTTCTTTTTGCTGTATTTTTATGGGAGTAGCTGATGAGATATTTTTCAGTTATTGTCCGGTCATAGGAGCTTCTGTGGTGTGGTCATTATTTAACTCTATAATTATAAATATCCTCATTTTTAGTTCCAGTTGATCAATGAGCTGAATAGCATATCACCTAACGCCACCCCACTGCAGCGTGTTAGGAATTCTGCTGAGTTGTCCCACAATTTCTTTTAAATTTCGGCAAGACACGAATTTCGAAAGAGAAGAAATTTCGAGAATTTGATAGTGATGATTCAAGTACTGCCGAGTACTCTAAAATGACAGTTAGTGCGTAACCGTTGTATGCCGTCTGTGTACTATAAAAAGTGCAAGATAAGTATCGACGGTAAAAATGTAGTTCTATGAGTTCAGATACATTTTTACCTGGCTACTTTTAAAAGGTGCGGGGACGATTTTATTGGCTAAACAAATTTGCCGTCCTGTCTTCCTATATAATAACACTTAGTTAGCAAACGTAGAATTAAATAAAGGCAGCATTAGTCGCCCATAGGGAACAGTAACATGGCGGAGGAAAGAATGAGGCTGGCCACCAAAGAAGTTTGTGAGATCACTGTTGAGCTGGTTGTAGTCTTTGTTCTTACCCGCAGATACTAATGTTAAGTGAACGGGTGAAAGAACAAAGAGAATTATAATTGTTAAGCAATCATGAATATCAGCCACTGAGATGCAGCAACACATGTGGAAATTCAAAGAGCTTTACGCTCCAGGACCTGCTTTCTATTGACTTCCGCATTGTTAAAATGAATCACTTGCTTCTTTTGTTATGCAGTTCCGATGTGTCAATAACAGAATTTGTTGATTATCACAATGCAATACAATAGTACTGTGGACTAATACAGCGTGAGTAATATTAGGTTGGAAAGAAATTTACCATCGTTTGAATGAGAATGTTGTTTTTTCGCATAAATAGTGTGTGATTTTTATATCATTTAAAAGAACTACTTCTTGCGCATCTATTGATATATAATTTGTCTACATCTGCTGCAGAATGGATTTGTCCAGGGGACAAAAAGGTTAAGCCCCGCCATTCGTACAGCCTCAAAATCGAATTGGCAAAAAGGTCATGATTTGCGTTTGGTGGAATTTTGAAGGGATTTTGCATTCTAAACTTGTTCCGAATGGCAAATCCATCACCGCGGATCTTTACTTCGAGCAGCTGGACCAAGTTTGAGACAGGTTGGTTGAGAAGTACTCAGAACTTGCTCGTCGAGAGCGTGTTTTGTTCCAGCTAGACATCGCTAAAGCCATACACAGTCAAAAAGACCAAGGCAAAGTTTAAGGAATTGAACGAAGTTGATATTATATTGCATCCACCCAATAATCCAGGAACTGCTCCGTTTGATTACGGTCTTTTCCGATCAATGCACACTTTTTGGAAGGTTGCTGATGATCTTTTGACGAAGTTGAAGGAGCATGTCAAGAGCTCTTTGATTCAAAGCCGAAGGAGTGGTACTTCAACCAGATCTGGAAACTGGCGGATCGATTACAAAAGTGATGGATAATGATGGCCTGTATTTTGAAGAATAGTTGTTGTGGTTTGCTATCTTTAAATATGCATAAATTTTGAATGTTTCATCAAAAGATGGAAACTTTCTTTTCAACCTAGGACACTAGGGGTACATTGGCTAGCTTAACGGCGAGGCCCACCTTCTTCAGAGCCTGAAAAGATTAAAATAATCCGCGATTCACTCGTCTAAACATCCATAACCTCAGCAGAGTAAGAAACGAATTTCGAATCGCATAGTAAAAAGTTTTGGTACTTTTCCGTCATACATGCCCTGTTTCGACCTTTCACAAAAAGCTCACGTTTTGGTCATTTTAATGATTAGGTAGTCATTCGATAGCATAAATCAAAGAACTTGAAGAGTCTACTCAATATCAAACAATGCTCTCATGTTGCACTGTAAGAGCAAAAATAACACCTTATTCCTCATCCAAACCTCGATGACCTAGGCTTCTCCATCAAATTTTCAGCATCCTCTCGATAGATCAAATTTTGGGAATTCTCACGATATCATTGATTTTTTGAATGGAATTCTTGATCCGCTATAATACTCAGTAGAGGATCAGATTTCACATTACTGGATCACTTTTATTATTTGTTCCTTTCTTTGATCCGATGAGAAAAACGCAACTTTCACTCTTTTTCGAAGTTTCAGAACTTGTCTAATATGAAAAATCTCACAGATTTCAATGATGCACTTATTGTAAATATGGTTGTACTATCGCGCTACAAAAGTAAAAACAAAATTTTGTTCCTCATCCATACATTTCTCGCTCAGCAAGCGTTTGGTAAAGACTTTCACTTGTCATCGTTACTTCAAATCTTGTCGATTTCTATAGTGTTTTTTAGTTGTGTAAGGACTCTTCATTGCACTGTAGCTATCGAGACGTCGGTTTTAAGCCACCAGACTTTGAAAGCATGTGGATAAGATTTCGCCGTATTGGCGCTAAGCCAGCACTCTTTTACCTGTATATGAGCAAAATTTCGCAACAAGCGACACCAGTCCAATGTACATCAGTTGCCTTTCAATTGTTTTCTCCTGCTTCTCATCGAGATTCCCCAATCAGCTTTCATGCTTTACCAAGTACTGAAAAAGACGCAGCAATGTTCCCACGAAAGCATGGCGTGTTACAAAGCGAATGTCTGTGCAAAAAAGGTCATCGAACGAAGCTTGCGTTTGGTCCACAGACTTTTTGACAATGTTACGAGCATGGCTAGGAAAAGCGTCTTCGGTTAAGACACAGCCTGCGCGCCAAGTGTGAAACTCACTCTTCTTTTTGTTACGGAAGCTAGTAAGCCAGTTTTGTTTTTTTTTAGAAAGCTCGCTTCAAAAACGAAAAAGTTTTTGGAATTCCTGAGATTTGATCTACCGATTAGCTTCTGCTGGTGCGAGAAAATTACTTTGTTCGGTGAGAAATATTCAAATGAGGAATGAAATTTTATTTTTTATGCTTCAGCGCATTAGTAAAATCATTCTAAAATCAAAAAGGACCTCTCGAAATCTTTTGATCTAAGTTATCGAACAATTATCTGAACATCAAAAATAACCAAAAACTACGTTTCCTTTGGAGGGTTGAAAGAGGGTCTGGTAACGAAAATAATCTAGCTTTGCGAACTCCAGTCTTGTAATGGTTGCACAAAGCACTGCGAGGTCCTTTTTGAAAAACCAAATAAATTTTTGGAATCTTTGAGATTTGCTCTATCGATTGGTTGTCAAAATTCCAGAGGAAAAGGTTTGGTCAGCAAAAATGATTGAATGAGAAGCAAAATTTCATTTTTTGCTTTCCAGCGCAGTAAAAAGCCTTTTCGGAAATGTAATAGACCTTTCAAATTCTTTTGATTTGAATATACCACAAAATCACTTTTGAGTCACGCATGTCATGTGGTCTGTTGAAGATGGGCTGACTTATAGAGCCCGATACACGTGTTTCGATCTTACCATCTCGTCACTCGGGCAGTGACCCATTCTTGCGTTTTGCTAATCTCTGTGGGTGCCCCTTCCCCACACTAAGAGTTAACGCCGACGAACGTTTTACACTCCATGTCCAGTTCGTTCGTTCGTCGTCGCTAACTCTTAGTGTGGGAAATGGGCACCCACATAGATCAGCAAAAGACGAGAATGAGTAACTGCCCGACTGATGAGATCGTAAGATGGAAACACGTGTATCGGGCTCTATAAGTCAGCCCATCTTCAACACATTCACGTGACATGGGTGGCTCGAAAACGATTCTTTGACATATTGTAATTTGAGCTGTGGTCTTAAGAAAACACTCAAAACGAATGATATGGAATAACCTTTAGTTGAGAAATAATGAAATGCTCCGAACCGACCGACCTCCCAACTCTTTTCAACCATTCTTTGTTTGATTTTCGATGTTATTTTGAAATACTATATCAGATGATGAACAATGAAGTGGGGTATCCTCAAGGGGTTTTTTTTGTTATGTGGGAAACGAGGGCAAAGCAGCTTCCATTATTGAAGTTCACATCAACTTTTCCCATAGATGATACAACACAAAATGGTATCGTTGTGAAAAACATGTTTTGAAGAGCTATTAGTGTGTGCACAGAAAAAGGCCATAAGGTAGGTTTTCTACGCTTGACGTGAAAAATATCCATCTTCAATGGCTACGTTGCGGTAGGAGCTACTCAGGTTGGATGTGGAGTCGGCACCCTAAACGGAAAGTGTGGCGAGAACAAGGTTCCATCCATCCTGTACTTTATTTCTAGCGAAGCAAGTACAGCTGTCTTAAAGGGACAGATTTGAATATTTTGGTAGATTTTTCCAAATGCACTGAAGTGCCAGTTAGTCCTCACTTGACTGTATTGAGTTGCCTCTGCAAAACGATCTGCCAAGTTCGCCCAAACGGTAGAGGCAACGACTGCTAATGATCTGGTACAACTTACCTGATCTCTTGCACGTACGTTTCAGCAGTATCGTTCACCTCTTCAGAGTTACAAGCTTACTAGTCACCTCTACTAATGCTAGGGACGATAAGACATGCTCTGTTCTAACCATGTGAAATTGTGGCTGTACCATTATGGCTGCTTAATCACACAGAAATTGCATTTATTAATCAACTGCTTTGTCAGCACCGTTAAAAACGCAAATTTCGCTTTTTTCAATGGAAAAATTTCGTACAACCGACCACTTATCCAACTAGATTATTGTACTCTAAATCGATTTGGCAACTATTTCAAGTAACAATGGCACTTTTTCGCTATTAGACAGGAATTTTTGAATAAACCCCTTTTGATGGACGAAGATTTTCTACTAGATTACTAATTCTCAATTGAAAGTTCAAATATTGGGACTTCGAAACTTTATTTGGTAATTACAAAAGCACAGACGGTTGGCTGTTGACAGATAACGCGTTGTAGCGTAGAATGAGTGGATGCAAAACGAGCGTCGGTGGTGCAACGGTTTGGCTTATGCTCCCGAAAAGGATAAGATCTGGGTTCTAATCCCAGCTGATACGTATATATTGTAATTTAAGCTTTTGAATGGTTATTGAAAGTTAGCCAAAAATTTTTCGCCACCGAAAATTTCGTCAAAAATGATTGTCAATAACAGAAAAATACCTCAGTACTTTGCGAAAAAGCATCTATGAGCAAGCTATGTAAGATGGAGACCTCACTTTTTTAGTTTCTCAAGTTCCCATACCTCGAAGTATTCAAAATATATGGATATCACTGGAAGTTGGCGAAAAGACAAGCACCATTCATGACGCTAAGCATATATAGAGCAATTCTGACCAACGATCAGTTGCAATTTCTTTTGCAATCATGTGAGCGATCATGATAACCCAATTGTATGGACGAACATGAAAAACTTGACCATGTAGTCATACGTGTTCCAAAGTCCCCTACCAACAACACCAAAGTACTTTGGTGGACGAGCCTTTTTTCACTACACACACTAACGCCCGGAATGCTTTGAAAGCATCAAAGAGTTCATAAAAAAATTTTTCAATGAGCAGGGAGCAAAAAAACGACAAAGTTCCAACTCAGTGCATAGAAAAACAGAACTTTAAGGCGAGAAGTGTAATGAAATGGCCGTAGTCACTTGCTTGGATTGGGTTGACACAACTCGACATAAACTCGCAGCAAGGAGACCGGAAACTTGCTGCCAGATAAAACCTTCCGTTATATGATTTGCGAATCTGACTCTAATTAATGAGAGGAATCAACTACAGGAGCAAATCCGATGTGACGTTTTAGGGAGTTGTTAACTCCATTTACCCGCTTCAACTCTTATCTCTTGTGTTTGTAATCAACTCTGCACCATTTTAACACCTCTTGCTATGTTCACTATGCAATGATTCTATCCGTCGGAAATGACCCCGTTTTCATCAGACTCAGTAATACGAAATACTGACTTAAAACGAATCATAGCTATGTCAGATTGGGTTTTTTGCTTAGTGTTTCGATTTATTTCGACTAGTTTTTGCCGGTGATTAGGAGATATAGCACAGCAGATGTAGCCCACGCTGATCCTTGGCTAGTAATATAGGTACGCTGTGGAAACCACTAGAGTGTATTTCATCCTCGACCTCTGTATTCGGACTTGTAATTTGAATGGTTCAACCAAAACATGAGCAGAATCTGAGAATTTGACAGTTTAATTGAGATAAAAGATACAGATGATCCATATTGTGACTATTTCTTCCAATAGTTCCGATTTTCTACCTAAATTTTTCTATGATAATTGAGTTAACTATCATTTACATTTATCTTTGCCTCAAATTGCCGCAAACTCCAAGCTTCAATTTCCTCTATGAACATTCACTGTGATTGAGAACGTTTTTTGTAGAAACGTCATTCTTTGCCGCGTACGTTGAGAATGTGGCTATCGCCGTGTACTTTGTGAGATTCCCATATGTTGCGCCAAAACACTTCCAATTATTCAGTGTAAGCGAGCTAATGGCTAATCATCCTCATCGTTCAATTACTATTCTTGCAGTCAACATATCCATTTCACCGCATTACTTCAGGTAATAGATTACGGTGGTTAGACTCTACTTACACATTGTAACAGCCGTATATTAGGTATACCACTCTCTTGCCATTGAACCAAAGCTGCAACATTATTTTATGCACCATATGTCAAGATTCACAATCACACGTACTTCCTCACGTCACCAGAACTATTCTACGTGATACTTGCTCATCGCATCGACGTACGTATCACAGCGCTGCTCTCTTATCACAAAGTATTTCCTCAACCCATTCAGTACCGTCCAATCGCAACGTGGACGGCTGAATTCAAACAGCTTCTTTCAAAGGTGTCGTTCAATTGCGTATCGGAATCATTGTCAGTTTGTAATACCCATCTATTCGACTGGTTTTTTGAAATCTCACTCGCAATATACAATCTGACAACAGAAACGTTTCTCTTCAATTGATTCACAACGGTGGTATCATGATACAGATATATTAAATGGTGTTGGGCAATGTACAAAACTTTTGCACTAGGGGCGACTTCAATCCGCGCTTCAGCCGATTGTGGGCGCATGCTCCAACCCGCTATAATACCGACGCCTGCTGTGTAACCACTCTGCTAGTCTGATAACATATTTTAAGCTTTTCATGAGATCTCCTATGAGACTTGTGCAGTCCCAGACGAACGTTTCGGTCCTTCGGCCTCACCAGTAGACGCTGCCTTTCGAATCAGTCAGTTCCTTGAAAAGGGAAAATTTCTGCGCATGAAGGATTCAACGCCAAAATATTCACTCTGTAGGCAACGTGATAAGATTAGTCAACATGCAGTGCTTTACGATCGATTGCTTATAACTGAAAACCTATATTGTAAAACCTTCCATTCAAGTGGTTTTTTTGAAACAGCGCTTAAGCTCAAAACAATATAATTTGATAGCGTATTGTTTTCTGTAGGATATCAAGGCTGTCGATGAAAAACGTCTCATTACCGGCTTCATAACTATAAGTCAGATCATCGCTCTTAATCCGGCTACGTTTTTTTCTGTATCAAGCAAGATTCGAGCCAACGTTTGGCGGATACATTGATATATATGTATATGTATATGTATATATGATATATATATATATATATATATATATATATATATATATGAGAGCATGTGGCGCAGTGGCCTAGAGGTGCTCTGCGTCGCACACGAGGTCAATGGTTCGATCTCGCGCTCGTGGCTCACCAAGCCATCCATCCCTCCGGGATCGGTAAAATGGTAACAGACAGGCCTCAGACTTGTCTGGGAGGATAAGCAGCACTGACTCGGTTCAGCGGGAGGCCACCGCGAGTCATTGTAAAGGCCAGATATGCATTCAATCACCTCAAACGAAGTTAGATTTTGAAGTTGAAAGCATGGCGCATCCCTCAGAGATTGACCAACGCCGAGAGCTTTTTTAGAGCTCTATATTGATATATATATAGACTTTTACTATGTACTACTCAACCGACTTTTACTATGTCATTGTTGTAAACATCTGAATTACCTATGGTTGACATTTGCCTTGTGCTAACCAACGAAGGTTTCGCTTGGGAAAATCATACAGAATTATAAATTCTGTTCCACCCAGCGATAATTCTATTCTGGCAGCCAAATGAGAGAAATGTCTTCTTCCGAACTAACTCATGGAATTTTACCTCTTCTATCGACCCCTTTTTGTAGATGAGCTTAAAATGATATAACCTGATAATTACTACAGATATATTACTCTGCGTCGATTCCATTATAGAGGATTAATTAGCCTCAGGGGATCGGCTGAACCGAGGCAGGGTGATACTAATGAGTCCCAATAGGACGAAACAGGTACCTGTATAGCACTAGAGTTCAAAACATCAGATTATATCCTTTGAGCGGGCCTATAAAAAGCTGTTGATAAGAGAGGTATGGTTTATTGTAATAGCTAGGAACTCGACTGCCAGTCACCACAACGTCAGGTAATTCCATCATCTGATGTGAGGTGATTTATTACTCGTCTTCAATTCCTTCGTAGACCGTATTAAGCCTCAGGAATCGGCTGAACCGAGGGAAGGTGATACTGATGACTACCAATAGGACGGAACAGGTACCTGTATTGCACTAGACCCAACAACTCAAAACATGTTATATTCTTACTAAAATCTTAGTTCATGTGTTTTAACATAGTCCGCGAACAGGTTCACTCTGATTTGGAGCTAAGTCGTGAGTCCTGCAAATACATCACGTTCACCTCAATCATTTAACTGTTTTCAGTTACACTCGTTAGGATATATCGAGGCCTTTATTTCATAATATAGTAGTAATACTGCTAGCCTTGTAGACATGAATAAAATCAGTCTTACATCTTTGGTGAAAGAACACGTGCTACATAGAAAGTATTTCGAAGAAAACTAACCTTGAAGCACCATACACACGCAAAACATACAGTAACTAATTATGAAATTTTTTGTAAACTTTGCAGCGACAAAAACGCCAGTTCTATCACACCACCGTAGTTCAGAAAATATAGCTTTTTTAGGTAACTTTTCGTAGCCCATGCGCTGTCGAGGAGGACATGGCTGAGATAACACCTATGAGTTTTGACTTTTTATTTGCTGCCAATAGGAGGGAATGACGCAGTGGTTAGCGTTACACGCAATCATGCACCGATCTCAGACAACCACCAGAATCAACTACAAAAGTGAATATTCACTGAGGAGGGTTAGGGTGCATTTGGTGGGATTAGAAAGGCGTCCATTACTATGAGCTCCTGAAAAGTGGTCGAACAGTTAATACAGTACTTCATCAGCGACAATCATCAAATTGAATCGTGAATTGCAAACAAAACGGCTGGACTACGCAATAGTACATGACAAAGTGGTTTCGCTGCATGATTACGCTCAACTTCATGTTGCAAATCGATCAGAAACGTCATGGAAGAGCTAAGGTGGATAATTTTAGAGTGTTTTATTTTTCCCTATCGCGTGCAAGAGTGCATCCTCCTCGCTTCAGGGATGTGCTAAGCATCATATTTCTTTCTTCTTTCTCCTAGGCTTTTCGTGAAGTACTCGGATCATTAGGTCGGTGATTTTCCTGTAGAACGCCTAATATCCCGAGAAATATCCTAATATCTTATATCCGAAATATGCTAATATCCAGTCTGTAGAAGCTCTCGTCTGCCAATTGTCGTTGAAGCGCATCATATGTCCGGTTCACATTATTTTCGATATCCTGGCGTGTAGAATGGTGACTTTGATCATCGATTGTTGACTTGAGTAGGAACTTCGGATACTTTCTCTCATTTGCGAGATGCGGGATCCTCCCAGCATCGACCTTTCAACTGCACGTTCAATAAAGCCAAGTGATCTTTCACCTTGCTTACGTAGTGACCACGTATTCTGCTGCATACGTTAGGGCAGAGATAATCGTCGAATCGAAAAGATGAGCACGATTGATATTCTTTGTCCTCTTCACTACATATTCGATGCTCTCAAACATTCCACAAACTGCTCATTTCCTCTTGCTTAGCTCTGGAGCTA